ACTGAGTCTACCGATATGGAACGTCACAACCGGCCTGCAGAGTCCGCTCAACGATACCACAAATGATCTAGCCAAGCACCTTCGACGCAGCATCGCCCGCCAAATCCTGAAGACGCATTCTGGGCGATCCCGCTGGCACGACGCAGCAGAGAAGAAGCAATACGAAGAAATCGCCCAAGACAGAGTCGAACTTACCTCCTACGAAGGCGTAGGCCTCTGGTCTCAGCAAGATCCCGATCCAGCAACAAGACCACGAGTAGAAGAAATCGGAGCATGGATGAAACGACAATTAGAACCTGGTTCTTTCTAAACAATCAACTAAAAACGAACATAACAACATCTTCAATCCATCTCCCCCCTCACAACCCAAGTCCACACCGCTCAATCTCCCCCACAGCCTTCTTCTCACAAACCTTTCTTTCCCACGCAGCCACCTCCTTCACAACCAACTTCTTCGTCTTCCCACATATCTCTCTCTTATACGTAACCCCCATCCCACTATCCTGCACAGCACCCAGCACATAATGATCTAGTTCAATGTACCCCCAATGCGCCGCCTCAACCCTAACAACAGCCCAACTACTCCAGTGCAACAACGGCACACGCGGTCTCCCCTCTACATCTCCCCGCAAATAATCACACAGTTCTGCCACCCGCTCCCCACGCGCACCTTCCACCTCTTCGTCGGGTAGGAATGGGAGAAGGACTTCACAACTCGATTCCGCGCCCACGGACAGCGGAAAATCCTCTGGCTGTCCACACGCTTTGAACCCGTTCGTAGTACTCGTCCTCGTCTTCCCCCCTTTCGGATTGTGCGATCTCCAGGAAACGGTGTAGTTCATCTGATTCTCCTTCAACAACCCCAGCAACGCACGCACTTCCACACGCTCAGGATGTGGAATCAAGAATTCGAAGAATCCTCGCTTTTTGGTTTGTTGGTAGGAAGGTAGGATCAACCATGGAAACGTCGAACAAACGCCCCAGGAACGGGTCAAGGAGGTTGAAACCCCACCATCTTCCACCCTCAGCGGAATCACACCCCGTTCCAACAACCGGCTCAGCGCCCATCGGTACTTCCTATTTGTCCCGTATTCATTCCTCAATCGCCCCTGCATCGTAGAGAGATATTCGGGATGAAAAGGCGTATGCTCGCCTTTTATCTCGCCCTTCTGCGCCAGACCGATTAATCCGTATAACGTCGTCCAGTCGGATGTTAACCAGGGTACGCGCCATGCGTGTTCTAGACTGCGGGCTTCTTGGGTGGATTTGGTGATTTTGTGGCGGCGATAGGTGGCGAGGGAGTGGATGAGCGGGATGGAGAGGAGGATGAGGAGGTGTAGGAGGGTGGGTAGGGTGAGTAGGGAGGATGAGGGTTGGGAGGGTTGGGAGGAACCGGGCTGGATTGCGTGGTTCGCGACGTAAGTTGTTGCTGTTGTTAGCACGGCGGTGATTGTGGATGTTGTTGCCATGCTGGATACGGTTTATGGGTGTCTTCTTGGTGTCGCGATGGGTATGCCACGGGCGTATTGTAGTCGTCCTTCGTCCCAGCGACTATGTGCCAAGTCTGCATTGTGTGCGGCAGACAATCAGATCGTACCATCTTTGTGTCTTGTTGTTTGGTCAGTCTGTCAATGAAGGTCGCGGCTTTCTGTCCGAAGCCGGCGTATCGTATGGCTTTGTTCACCTTTGAAGGAAACAGATACACGAAAGTCGTCTTTGCCTTGTTGGAGAGGAAGACAACGAACTTGGGCACCTAAATTCTCCAGCATTGAAAATGTGATGTATGTTGGGAATTTTTGTTATGGGTAGACGTGACATAGTGTGATATTTGCTATTATTCGGATGACCGAGTATCTATGCGCGATGCTATCAGTCTTCCCCACCTATTAAACGCCTCAAGGCCTAGATGAACAATCCTGTCCCAGGCCCTTTCGTAGACTACCAAATTATGCTATCCCATACATAATGACAGCGCGTAAAATACGTCATCCATGTTATCCCTCAGACTAAAGCCCAACTCAAATGCCAGCTCATCCTAACTCGATCATCTACAAATCAATCAGCGGCTCATCCACAACCTTCTGCTGCTGAACCGGCAACTGATTCTGCGGCGCAGACGGGAAACTCTCAGGACCATAACCACCCGTCGCATAGGGTGCGGATTGCCACGCCGAAGACTGCTGCTGCTGGGGCGCTTGCTGTTGCTGTTGCCAGTACTGTTGGGGTGGCTGCGCTTGTTGCGGAGCTTGTTGTTGCTGTGGAGGTGCCTGCTGCTGCTGCGGTGGGGGTGCCTGTTGTTGTTGAGCTTGTGGCTGATCTTGCCTGGGATACGGCGGGTTCTGCCACGCAGTCGTAGGTTGTGCGGGTGGTGAGATGGGCGTCTGCTGTGGTGGAGCTCGGGTGTATGCTTGTGGAGAGGGGGGCTGCTGTTGTTGGGATGGCTGAGAGCCGTAGCTTTGGCTCCGCTGCATCGGCGGCTGAGAGGGTTGCGCTGCAGCGCTGTCTCCGTAGTAGAAGCTAGCGCTCTCTGCGTCAGATACCGGAGGTGCTTGTGATGGGTACCCTGAGGATTGTTGTGGCGGGTACTGCTGATTCGAGACTTGACGCTGGAGTTGTGGTGAAGCAGGGTTCGGGTACGAAGTATTAGGTGGCGGTTGTGCGAGGTTGGGGTATGGTTGTGAGGGTTGTTGATATTGATCCTGGGGAGGAGCGTAGGACTGTGGTCGCTTGTCGAACTGTGGGTAAGGTGCTTGGTAACCACCACCATATTGCGATTGCGGCTGTCCGTATGCACTGGAGGGATCTGCGTTTCCTGTGTAGTAGTTCTCGCCCGACCCCGGTGCTCCCGACTGCTGTATGCTTGGGTATAGGTTGGATGCCGGCCGTTGTGAAGAGGCTGGGAGACCGTACATGGCGTTGGTCTGGTTGTATGTGCTGGAAAGTCTCTCCTCGAGCATGCGATCGTAGTATCGGACGACGGTTGACAGCTTCGCGTGTAGATCAAGTAGTGTGTCTGCTCACGTTAGTACAGTTCCGATGGCACAAAGGTGCAGCATACCGTGCTTGCTCATAGTCTCGCCATAGGTACGGGCAAGCTTCGGTCTCAACTTTCCAATGCTCTCGTACAGCTCTTGTATCTGTGGTTCCCGCAGGATAGTGCCAGGCGCTTGGTGTTGTAACCGGTCGACCAATGTGGAGAAGAGGTTGATGTTCTCGGCTTCGACAGGCGTGAGCTCGTAATCGTTCTTAGGCGCAACAAAAGGTGCTGATCCGTTCGCATTGGAGGCCTGTTCCCGGAAGGTCGTGGCATACTTCTTCTTTTGTTCCTCCATGTCAGCCAAGGAAGCTGCAATAGCGGCAGCCAGGTCGGCATCCTCCTCCTCTTCAGGCTGTTTCTTGCTCGTCCCGTTGGTTGGCTTGGACTGTGACTGCAACTGCGACTGAGGCACAAAGCCGGAAGAACTGTTTCCCTTGGCTTCGTCCAGACTCATCTCCAGCGCTCGCTTCAAGTCAGCATCGAAGCTGTCCTCGACGCGCGCATTACGCGGCTCCATTGAGCCCTGATATAGCGTTCTCTGTGGTTTGGGGGTGTCGAAGACTCTCGGGAGCGGTGTCCCCCGCGACCGTTCGGTAAGCTTCGCGTGGCAGCCATCGTCGACGCGCACAGGGTCCATGATGCCGAGATGGGGTAACGGGATACTCTTGCTCGAGCACGCGCCGCAGAAGACGTTTCCGCAGTTGCGACAGTGGTGCTTCCGGTTTGTGAAGGTAAAGGGTGTGCGGCATCGCATGCAGACGTCGGAGTCGGTCCACTCGGGGGGCTGAATGTGTTAGTCCGTGACCATCATGCGATATGGGTTCAACGTACTGCGCTGCTGTCAAGCATACTGCTGGAGATGTTCTCCTTTGGAGGGAAGTGGTAGCCCTCCCGTTGCAGGCTGTAGTAGACCTCGTTGATGTAGCTGAGGTTTTGGCGCCCTTCAGCGGCAGTCGCCCATGATTGTATAAGCTCGAGCATCTTGTTCTTCACATCGTTGTTGGGTGCGACGGTCGGGGGTGCCTTGAGCAGGGACGTCATATTGTCGAGGAACTCGCGGGAAGCTATCTCTTGGATGAAGTGGGCGCCGCCGTTCTTAACGCACGTGTCTGTGAGCTGAGACGATTAGCGAAAGATTATAAGATTCGCAGATAGTGCTGCATACGTTCAAAGTGGCAAGCTGGACGTTGGGGTTCTTATTCCCTATCCTCTTCTTCAATGCGCGCATGGCATCTCTAGGCTGCACCGTCTTGGAGCGAATAACGTCGGATATCTCGAGGTTGAGGGGCATGTCCTCTCTGGTGTATGTTAGCATGTCTATTTTCATGAATTACGTCTTGGCTCGGCTCGTACAAGCTCGAAGAGGTGGCGCGCTCGATCTGCTCGTCGAGCGCGCCGGTGGTCGAGGACCCGAACCAGCCCGCCATGATGTAGGGCGCTCCCAGTGTGTGAATGCGTTCGTGGGTGTCGGATGTAAATTGATGTACTCTGATAGCTACTTCGACTTGGAACTAAACTTGCGGCTTGGTGGAGAGTAGCGCGTGGGGATAGTCGCTGTGGTGGTTAGGTAGCAAGCTGTCCGAGGTGAGGGCTTGGCGATGACGCCGGACGCCTCTGAGCCGCATCCACCGACGCATGCTTCAACCCTGCGAATCGCGGGACGGCCATCCACGCCCAACGCCTTCACTCACGATACCCAAATCGCCCCTGGAACCCGCCCGCTGCTGTAGAATCGCCGCCCGTTATTGTACGCCACTGCCCAATCACGCGCTACCCGATCCGCCCCGCATTCCCGATCAACACTGCCTCTCTGGCCACACGTACGCGTATTCGACTCCAGGTGCGCCTTGCTCGGACTCGAGAACATGCACGCCTGCCCGCCGATTAAAGTGTGTTTGTGAGTGCGGCACCTCCTCCGCCGCCCTCAGCACCTCCTTCGCCCGCCCACACCACCACCACCGCCATGAACGGCTACACCAATGGCGCGCACGGCGTCGGCGCAGATGGATGGGGAAGCGGCGACGGCACTGGGGACTCCAGAGGCCCAGTTGGCCCATTCCCGCCCATCGCCGAAATCATAGCCTCTGCGACTGACACGGCCGAGTCGCTAAAACACCATTCGGTACTCATCCAACGCCGCCTCAGAGGTAACACGTTCATGCGCCAGTCGCTGACCATCACAGATCAAACTCCTCCTCGAACGAGCCAGGGGGCACTTCAATTCGGCCAAGAACATGCTCAACAACCGCTCTCCCGCCGGCGCCTACTGGGAATACATTGTCGCATACCAGATCGTCGCCGAACTGATACCCACCCACCGCGACTACTACGACAAGATCAACGGCAGCCGAAGCCAGATCCACCGCGACTTCAACGAGCTTATGAAAGAGATCAAGTCAAACGAAGAGCGGTTTGTGCGCATAAAGGACATTATAAAGAACGACAACAAGAGGAACGGCGCACACCACAGGACGACCTCTACGCCCCCCTCTACAACACAAAGCAACCGAAATGGCATGATTGCGATGAGGAAAGACGACGAGCTCATGCTTCCTGAGGTTCCCACCGGAATCCCAAACGGTCGAGCGTCACCTGCGGCCTCTCTGGATTCTTCACGGAGAAAACCCCCCGTGCAACCGAAGCCACAATCGCTGCATGGGCGGGCTGTGCACCAGAGCATATCGAATGTGAATGGAGTGAATGATCTTGCTCAGCGGTTCGCAAATCTTAGAGGGACCGGTCCGCTAGTTGATACATCGCCTCGCCCCAGCCAAGATCTGTCCGTCAAAATGCCCTCTCCTGCAGACTACCATTCTACAAACCGGATTATGGGTCCGCGAGGCATGCCACCGCCACCCCTTCACATGCCTCCGCCGCCACCGAAACTACCACTCGATACGCAATTCGCGGCTTCACTGCCGAAGGAGCCTAGTCCTACCTATAGTCCAGCGAGGAACATCTCAGGCCCTTCGAGCATCAACGCACCTCGGAGTACACCCAGGAGTTTAAACGGGACCGGGGGTCGTACCAACTCACTCGCCGCGTCCAGTGCATCAGCATATGCACCGAACGCAAACAGTGCGCCCGACTCATACTTTCCCGCGCAAACCCTTCGAGATGGCAATGGGAGAACACGGTCTGTCAGCAAGACGGTCGAACTTGAGATTGATGCTAGCATGCTTTACGATTACTACCGCATGTACAATGTACTCACCATCGACGTACGAGACAGGACAGACTTCGACGCGGGACACATCTTCGTGCGGAACATCATGTGCATAGAGCCCTTGACCTTGCGCGATGGCGACTCCGCCGAACAGCTTCTGGACCGTCTCATCATATCGCCAGATGAGGAACAGGACATGTTCGACAAGAGGGCCGACTTTGATGTGGTCGTATACTACGATGAGTCTACAAAGAACATCGACTTTATGCATAGACACAACCGATCTGACAGCGAAATTGCGTTGAAGCGGTTGTTCGATACTCTTCACGAGTTCAACGCGGACAAACCGCTCAGGCGTCCTCCAGTTCTTCTCAAAGGCGGTCTCGACGCTTGGATGGACCTGGTGGGCCCCCAGGCTTTGAAAACGTCGAACACCGCTGGACAAGTGGCGGCTGGTCCGACGCGGGCCCGGGCTATCCGACGATCGCCAGCTGCCAGCCATATCGCGAGAAACAACACGCAAAGAAGATCAAAACGCGAATACGTTCCCATGGACCAAGAAGAGCAGCAACAGTGGTTGGAAGAAGCTCGAAAGGGGCGTGCTGCAGTCGAAGTGCCTCCGGCAGATGGTGAAGAGGAAGAAGAGCCTACACAGGATTTCTACCGTTCGACAGAAGAGTTCCTACGCCGATACCCCGATGTTGAAGCTGAGCAGTCATCTATGATGTACCCGTCCAAGTTCCAGTCGACCAATCAATACGTCGCGCCTGCCATACCCGTCGCGCCTTCTCGTCCGCCGCCTTCTGTTCCTAGGGTGAGCTACAGTGGCGTACACGATCGGCAAGAACAGAACCGTAATGTGGTCTACAATGGACAGCCCCAATTTAGTAACCTGAGGCTACATAGGACGGGCCTGCTGAACTTTGGCGTCACGTGCTACATGAACTCGGTGGTGCAGTGTCTCAGTGGGCATCTATTGCTTTCGGACCTGTTCCTCACCGGAAGATATCAGCGAGACCTCCAGCGAGATAACTGGAAAGGAACGAAGGGGATTTTGCCGGAGGCGTACGCGACGCTACTGTCTAATCTATACAAGGGCGATGTCACCTCCGTGCGCCCAAGCACATTTAGGGTAAGTCAAAGATGGAAGCAGAAAATAGGCATGGCTAACATTGAACAGCGCATCTGCGGGCACTTCAACTCGCAGTGGGGCATTGATGAGCAGCAAGACGCCAAGGAATTCCTGGAATTCGTTCTAGACTACATGCACGAAGACTTGAACCTAACCTGGAACAAGCCGCCGCTCAAGCCACTTTCGGACCAGGAAGAGTTGCAACGAGAAAGATTTCCCCGCCAGTATTCAGCAATGATCGAATGGCGGAGATACCAACATCGGGACATGTCCGTCATCGGTGGTCTGTTCGCCGGTCAACATGCTTCGCAGCTTACATGCCAGACATGCGGCGTGACAAGTACAACATATGAAGCTTTCTGGAGTATCAGCGTAGAGATTCCCCGAGACGGCGAATGCGATCTACGCCACTGTCTAAACTCATACTGCGCACCAGAGCGCCTAGCAGGCGACGAACTATGGCGTTGCCCTCGATGCAAAAAAGACCGCGAAGCCGTAAAGAAGATCACCATCACCCGCGCCCCCGACACCCTCGTCATCCACTTCAAGCGCTTCAGCGCCTCGCGCACGGAAAGCGCACGGAAAGTGCGGACGCCTGTTAATTTCCCGCTCCAACGTCTCGACATGGGTCCCTTTGTTGAGCCACCCATGACGCCAGAACAAGAAAGATATGTGTCGGAAAAGGCCCGAGATGGACCTGCACAACTTGCTGGCGTGAAGAGCGATCCTACTATGAATGGGCCGTATGTCTACAACGCCTATGCTGTCATATGGCATATCGGTGCTACTCTCGGAAGTGGACATTACATCGCTTTTGTCAAGGATAAGTCTAGGGGATGTTGGCGCAGTTTCAACGACGACAAGATTACGGACTTTGATCCTGGGAATCTTCCGCCGCACAACCGTCTGCAGAATGAGAAGGCGTATATTGTTTTCTATGAGAGGGAGAGGGTTGCTGGTGGTGCTTTCTAGCACAGCGTTTATTCCATCCATAAAGATTCAGCGCACCAGGCGGAGTGTTTACGCGTATTTGTCTTTTGGCGCTGCATCTTGGGTAGTTTGGGTATAGCGACAGTCTGGTTAAGATTATACTTTGCGCGTGCGACGAATTATGTCTCTGGGACGAACGGGGCATTGCATACTTGGCGTTGGGATTATATACCTTGTTGAATGTCATTCCGTTGAGACGCAGCCGTGGCTTGTTGCGTTCGTGTGTAAACTTATTGTGATGTTTGGGCAAATCGATACAGCGAGGTAGGCACTAGGGATGGCTGCCGTTTGTGTTGCAGTGTGTGAAATACTTGACTGTAGGAATATACATTACCTCAGATGCTACCTACTAACAAAGTCTTGATAGTATGCACACCGCAAGCTGCGCATCGCGTCACAAACTCCAGCCCCCTTTACTGTGCACTATCCATACTCACTGTCAGAGTTCAGGTCCGTCGTGAGGCTGACAGCCGATGATCGGGCGGCAGGGATGGTGAGGGACCGAACATTTTTTGTGCCGATAAGATAAGGTTTCTGACTCTCCACACCCGTCGTTCCCCAGACGCCGCAACCCCTCCTTCAATTGACTCTTCTTGACTCTTTTCTTCTCACTTTCTATATACCCAACACTTGCAGATATGTCAAAGGGACGCGTTTGCCTTGCTTACTCTGGTGAGTACATCTATAACAGACAATTCTATGCCAACCGGGTTCAAATGCGTTCAGCTGCGTCAACTGCATTCACCTGCGTTCACCTTGCTCAGAGCCAACAAACTAACCTCAGTCATTAGGCGGCCTCGACACCTCCACGATCCTGAAATGGCTCATCGGTACGTCAGAAACACATTCAGACACACACCTCACAATCTAACGCGTAGACAAAGAGGAGGGCTATGAGGTCGTGTGCTTCCTCGCCAACGTCGGCCAGGAAGAGCCCTGGGACGAGGTGGAGAAGAAGGCGCTCAAGATCGGCGCGAAGAAGATGGTCATCCTAGACCTGCAAAAGGAATTCGTCGAGGAGCTCTGCTTCCGCGCCGTCCAGTGCAACGCCTCGTACGAAGGCCGCTACCTCCTCGGCACCTCGCTGGCCCGCCCCGTCATCGCCCGCGCACAGATCCGCGTCGCACAGCAAGAAGGCTGTGGGTTCGTCTCGCACGGCTGCACGGGCAAGGGCAACGACCAGGTCCGCTTCGAGCTGGCTTTCTACACACTTCAGCCTACTATCAAGGTTATTGCGCCGTGGAGGCTGCCGGAGTTCTGCGACCGCTTCAAGGGCAGGCAGGATCTGCTGGACTATGCTGAGAAGCATGGTATTCCGGTTACGTCTACCAAGGCGAAGCCCTGGTCCATGGACGCCAACTTGGCTCACTGCAGTTACGAGGCCGGTAAGTCGTTACATATCTAGACTGTATGCGTGAGACTAATGATCCAGGCATCCTCGAGGACCCCGACGTGTCTCCCCCAGACGACATGTGGACCATGACCGACTCCCCCCTCAACGCCCCCAACGAACCCACCGACATAACCGTCCACTTTGAAAAGGGCATCCCCGTCAAACTCACCACCCCCTCGCAGACCTACACCGACTCCGTCGAGCTCTTCACCGCGCTCAACAAACTCGGTTTCACCCACGGCATCGGCCGCATCGACATCGTCGAGAACCGTTTCATCGGCCTCAAATCGCGCGGCTGCTACGACTCGCCCGCCATGACCATCCTCCGCCTCGCCCATCTCGACCTCGAGGGCCTCGTCATGGACGCCCAGGTGCGGAACCTGCGCGACCAGTTCGTGTCGCACAACTGGAGCTACCAGCTCTACAACGGCATGTACTTCTCGCCCGAACGCGAGTTCATCGAGAACAGTCTGCTCTTCTCGCAGCGCAGGGTCAACGGCGAGGTCAGGATGAAGCTGTACAAGGGTAACGCGTATGTGCTTGGCCGGTCCAGTCAGACGGAGAAGCTGTACTCTGAGGAGGAGGCTAGTATGGATACGTTGGATAACTTTAGTCCTATGGATACTACGGGCTTTATTGCTATTCAGAGCATTCGGTGAGTTTACGTCCCTGGATTGGAGGGTATAGATGGTGTGGATGGTTTGCTAACATAAGGCAGTCTCAAGAAGTACGGTCTCCAAAAGGCGGAGGAGGGCGAGAACATGTCGAGGGCTTAGAAAGCTTCGTCTGATATGCATACTACGTTGACGTATTGGCGGAGGTGGCTGCATCGTGAGAATCTGCATGACCAGATTACTTATGCGAGTCCTGAGGTTACGCCCAAGCCGAAGTCGAGCTAGGACCAACAAAGCAATCTCATGATGAGAACGATGATGAGATGAAAATAGATACCAATGATAAAAGTCATACTACTAATCTTGACGTGTGATTTGTGTGTTATTTGATAAGGAGATGACGCGTGCGAAATGATACTCTCCATCTACTTTTATCGAGTAACCACACCGTCAGAAGATACCTGCTGAAGCTACCCTGATACGTCCATACGGCCTCAAACATGTAATTCAAAAAAGACCCAACGTCCTGCAATAAACCCATTTGGCTACTGTCAAATCCCCTCTTTACCAAACATCCAAACTCTCCCAACCAAAACATCAAAGTCTTCTCTCGCAGAAAGACTTCTAGCTCGAACGCGAAAACCCCAGAAGCGCTCATTGGCTGCCGCGTCCGCCAAGCACTAGCTCCAAATGGTGGGTTGAAGCTCTTCCGAGCGTTCCGATATCGGTTATCGGGGGGTCGGTACCGCTGAGAGCAATGTCGCACGCAGGGTTCGCGACGCAGGTTTTCGCTCTTGCGCTGTCTGTATGCAAAAGCTTCTGCGAGGGAAGCTGATGAAGATTCAGTTAGGGAGGTTTGGCAAGGAATGGTTGCGATGCGGGTGATGATGTAGCTTGTATCCGGTGTGTGCTTGATCGTCTTTCTCTTTTTCCTTGCATCTTCTTGTTGAACCCACTCCAGTTTCGCAGCTCCCCGTCTCCATGTCTCCGCGTCTTTTCTGCTCCGTCTTCTTTAGACTTGTCCATTTCTCGTTGCTCGTCCTCTCTCAACGTGGTATCGTATGCGCCGCTTGGTCATCTCGGGATCCCGCTGTCTTCCTCGTATTCCACGTCCCTGCCCAGGTGTTCACTTCTCATCCCCTTTTCCGTCCGCATCCTCATTCACCGGAAGGATGCTGCCTACGTTGCGCCTCAACCCATTCCTCGGTGGTGAGGTACAAGCTTGATCGTCGCCGCCTCGATCCCGCATCCAACTGTTGCGCCTGCCCGGTGCTGCCGTTGTAAGTTCCTGGCTGTCGCGAGGAAGGTCCTGTGTAAGCCGCAGGTGGGTTGTAGGCGGCGGCAGGGTAGTTGGAGTTGGCCTGGGGTTGTTGCGCGGTGGGCTGCGTATACATGGTGGGTTGAGGCTGCTGCACAACGAAGTTGTTGACGTAGCTTGGCGCATACATCGTACCCGGCTGCTGTACGAAGCTGTTGTTGACGGAGCCTGGCGTGTACATCGGGACCGGCTGGAAAGTAGGCTGGAAATGCGCCTGCTGTGGCGCATACATGATCGGCGCATATGGACTCTGGTAAGCCCCTGCGACGTTGTAGCCGGCAAAGGTAGGTTCCGGAAGGGCAATTTGATCGGGAACCTCATAGTAACCATGAGGCTGGTACCCAGGTACAGGAGCAGGTGGAGGAGCAGAAACGGAGGGCTCCATCTGGTAGAAGATCGGACGGGAAGCCATCTGATCGAGGGTGTACCACCCGTTCGCCGGTCCTACAGGAGCCATATCCCAGGATAGATCCAAATCCTCACTCTGGACTGCGTTCAAGTTCAGACCGGCTTCCTGAAAGTCCTCAGGTCGCAAGCCATCTTCCTGGAACACATTACTTGAAGGCTGATATCCCACAGGATGCGAAGGGCCATAACTCAAAGTAGCCTGACTCGAGTTCGAAGGAAACCTCATCAGATCTGCATCAGGGAACACATTACCAAACTGGTGTTGCGGGTAATGCTGGTATTGCTGGTATTGCTGCTGCGGCTTCATGAAGTTCATACGTGAAGCTGGTGCCGTAACAGCAGGCGGCGCGTATCCCGCTCCGGGATGGGCAGCAAAAGAGTTGCGAGGTGCAAGCGAATATGGAGCATATCGCTGGCTGCGCACGTTGTTCTGCGGCGCGGACCTACGACCATACTGCACGCTTGTCGCTACGTGTGGGTGGTCCACATGCTCTCCTCGCGTCGGGATGGCCAACTGCTGTCGGTACGTTGGGCTATGAGCAGGAGGACCAGGAGCCGGCATGGTTGGCAGAACCTGAGGCCTATTCGGCCCCTGCTCGCGCGCGAGTGTGGCCTCACTCAGGTAAGCTGCATTTGTAATGTTACCGTGGGCATCCCGTCTTGCCCTTGGCGATCCCGGAAGAAGCGGCCGTTGTCGCCGCGGTGGTGGTGGTGTCGAGTCTGCACTGCGACGTTTGCGCGCCATCTTGAAGGGTTAGATTACCAGGGAAAGATACGTCAGTAAGGTTAAAAAAAAATGTTGCTAATAAGATTGCAGATGTTGACGAGCATATTATATACGCAGCGTTTTCAGCACGCGCAGTGAAGTTCGCTAGAGAAGACGCATTTGGACATGGTAAAAACGACTATCCGTGGTTCAACAACGTTCAACCATAGGTGTTTCCTATACGCTACACACAGCAAACAACATACCAATATCATATTTCCTTGCCCCGGGAGAAGCGCCTACCTGAAGCACGCGTACATGTCTCTCTCGTCTCGGCCAAAATCAGCGACTGCCTCCGTAGACCAGCTCCTCCCGCCTCGTTGCAGCCACGCTCCATGTTCCAGATTCTCCCAGATCGAATCGGCAACTGGCTCCAAAGGAGGCATTCGCTTACGGTAGGCTTCCTTTGGTGCCTGGCTTGTCCGCCTATCTGCGTGCACTTTACTGTCATCCCGCGGTTTCTCCGAGCGCCCCCCACGGATCACCATATCTGTTTCTGTAGTTCCGCTACTACCAACCTTAGTTTCACTACGCACCTTCCCAGGGCGCCCACCACGGATCACCGTGTTTCTCTTTACATTTCCACCGTTGCTACCAACTCGACCGTAGTTGCGAGTCTCTGTGTGCAGCTTGCTGCTATCTTGCACTTTCCCCGGGGGCCCACCTCGAATTACGAGCTTCGCGACTCTACCGCCCCGACCGACTCGACCATAGTTACGCTTTTTCGGTGCCTTGGATCGCGACTTAGCTCGCTTCTCTTCTAATTCCCGCAGAGCTCTCTCTAGCGAAGCGTTGTCCTCCTCCGGCGTTCGCGCGTCATCTTCGGACTCGCTAATCCACTGATCGATGGCTAGGGGTGAGCACGGAGAATATGGCGAGTCTAGATCTTGGTGGTCATGTAATTCGAAGGACGGAGAAGGGCGGCTGACTGTTGCGATGTCCATGAACTCCTCCGCTAGACCTGCCATGTCAGTACCGAGGAGGCTGTTAACTTCGTCGTCTCGTTTGCGCTGTGCCTTGCTTTGAGCGGTTAGCGGGACCTGGATATCGTTGACTTGGTCCGCTAGGTCGGTCATTTCGCTGTCGCTCATGTTGGTTAGTGATGGTGCTTTTGTGATTTGGGTAGTTGATGTGCTGGATAGGATTGAAGATCCAAAGGAGGGCAGCTACTGTGCAGTATATAAGGACGAAGAAAGTGCTAGACTGAGACAAGATTGTCTCGTATAGGCTGTGTTTCGTTGGTCTTAAGGCTCGGTCATCTGGCTAGGCTTCACTTTGGCGTACTTTCTGATCCCATGACGATGCGGCAATGAAACAATTACCAGTCTATTACAATCTCATATATGCCGAAACTATCCTACACCTACTCATACAAAAGAAAGTTTACAACCGTGCCGTAAGTACCCCATCATGAGTCTAAAGCTTGGTGAAATGCTCATGTAGTTTCATGATGCGACAAGCCTGAGAGTAGTTGTCTCACTCAAGCATAGCTTCCACCAAACATACTAACACTGCGGCCCATTCGCCAAGCACCCCAAAGCACCATGCCCAAGATCGCTAGGTTGGCAAACTGCCTGCAGATGACGAGCAGGAAGGTGCTAGCCAAGACAGAACTGTCCGACCATCCGGAGGTGTCGACGTAGAGGAGGATGATATCGTAGATGATGAAGATGTCGCGAAGCCAGATGAGAGGTACGACGGTGAAAGCGAAACGGGCGAGATCGTTGCGTTCAGGTGACTGTGGAGCGTTAGTAACAAAACTTATATATTGTCATTAACGGCAAGACTTACACCATGAGCGTTCTTGTTCGTGGTACCATACTCCCTCCACACTTCGATGGAAACGCTCAGACTGGCTGCGACAACGATGGCTTCGTGCACGATGTAGGTAATCCTCGTCGCGCGGTCATGCTGCATGACGTTTGACCAAGACAAAAGCGCATCCGGGCCTGAGCTACCGGTACTGATGTCTCGGGCCTCTAGACCCAGACCCCACGCTGCAACACCGGTACCTAGCATGGCAACCATGATGAAGGTGTTCCAGATACGCGACATGGTTTTCGGCGTCGAGATGCCCGTACCGTTCTCTTGGACATGACTAGAATGGATCCAGACACCACCGTTGAGCAGCACAGTGAAGAAGATAGTCGCGAGCGTCGTGGCGAACGTAAGCGCTGAGATGCTCGAAGCATAGTCACTGTCTGTGAGAACGTAGCCGCGACGCCCGTTCCATCCCAGGTCCGCATCGTAGTCGATCGTTCCGCTCGTCTTCAGGACATCGGATATGAAGCGACATAGGTACGCGACGAAGAGGCAGAGAAGCGCCGGCCAGAGGAAGAGATACGTCCCCAGTGTCGTCTTTAGCGGGCCATCGCGCGCGCTGTTCTTGCCTGGTGCGGTGAAGCGGCGCTGTTTGATCCGCTGGAAGGTAGGTCTCGATGCCAGACCAAGGAAGATCAGGGCGCCAGCCGCTGTGATGACATCGAGGGCGAAGACGGCTTGGTAGGATTCTCGTTCGTTGGTGATGTTGATGTTGGACATGGCACGCTATGTGAGGTGAAGCGCGTGGGTAGTTCGACTCAGGTGAAGTTGAAACTAAAGTAAAGCTGGAGCAAACCCCATCTTTGACTGCATGCGAAATGAAAAAGCATGCCTGATACCTATGACGTTGATTGCTGTCACCCGCTTGGCAATAAGGTGTTGGGTGGATCTGTTCGGATCTGGGTGCCGACGATGGCGGTGCCCGGCAAGGACGGCAGGTGTGACGAAGGCTCGTACTCTGGCATGGCTCTCGGCTGCCGCTTCGAGCATGCTGTACAAGGACAAACGTCACGATCTGTATTGGAAAACGCGTGAACGAACGCACGCGTGTCGATGATGCAGCCCTGGGGTGAACGACTTGTGGAGGCTGGGGAAGAGTCTAGCTGGTATGCGGTTTAGTTGACGGGAGGAGCGCGGACGCTAACCCATCGCCTAACCGCTTCAGGATCTGGCAGTTCGCCTCTCATCCCATCCCGTCATACCCGTTTTCTCGAGACATCTCCTTTTTCTGGCGCATCTAGTGTCGCGTGGCATCTCCTTCATCAAGGGCGGCTGTGAATTCATTGGATGCGGTGAGACGCACTGTGATGTCGACGGCGCGACACAGCCATAGGGGATCCTCGGAGCCGTTGCACTCCACGGCGCGTTAAGATGTGTATAGCGGAGAGAACCACTACGACGTTACATGTCAACTAATTGAGAACAAACGCATTGCTACTTGCATTAACCATAGAAAGAAGAATCGCAAAGCATAGATCATGGAAATACATAGGAAAGCAAAAAGAACAAGTACCAATCCAACTCCGCCGTTCCCGTCAGCAGCCTCACCAAGCAAACCTTGTGCCACGCCCTACTCCCCACCCAACCCCAACTTCCCCACAACACCATCCACCAACCCCCCAATACTCGGACTCTGCAAAATCTCAAACACACTAACCGTAGCCTTCGTCTCCCTCTGAATCCAATTCTTAACCTCAACAGCCACCAACGAGTCCGTCCCGTAGCTGCTCATCGAACGCGTAGCATCGAGTTCCGATACATCCATCATCAGACTGCGCGATAGCTTCTTGAGAAGCGCTGTGAGGACAAACTCCTTCGCTGCCTCCACAGACGGACTGCAAGAGAGCTGCGCGGAAAGCGATAGCGATGTAGTCGCCGTACCATCATCTGACGTTGTCGCAGGCGCATCGATCTTGAGATGCGGGCGCAGGTACGGCAAGTGACTCAACACGGGATCTCGAGCAAAGAACGGCGCTTCTGCGTCGGTCAAGCTACTAATATCGAGGTCAGAGTCGAGACCCGTGACGACATGCCCCATCATCGGTTCGCGAATACCCAGCTCAATCAGCGCCAGCATCTCCTTCTCCTGAATGTGTCTGAACTCCTGGACTTGCACTTTGCGGCCTTGAACTTTCTTTTCGACGACATAGCCCACGTCGCCGACGATACCCAGATCGATGGCTGTAGCTGGCAGACCGAGCGCGTTCCGGTATTTGGCTAGTGCGACTTGGTAGGCGCAGCCTGCGGCGTAGTTGGCTTGACCGGGGTTGCCGATGAAGGAGTGGAGGGAAGAGAGGAGAACGAAGAAATCGAGGGGCTGGGATAAAGTGGTCTCGTGGAGGTTTTTTGAGCCGTGGACCTTGGGAAGGATAGTCGAAGTCCATTGATGCGAGGTCATTGTGCTGAAGAGGGAGTCGTTGAGGGTCATGGCGCCTTGAATAACACCCTTGATCGGTGGGAAGGAGCACAGGGTTTCGGAAAGAAGGTTGGAAAGCTCGAGTGCGTCGGATACATCGCATTTGAGAATGGCAGTGCGGACGCCCGAGGCGTGGAGGGATTCGAGGAATGCTTGGGCTTCTTCTGAGACTGCCCCGAAGCGGGAAATGAAAATGAGGTGTTTTGCGCCGTGGGTGACGAGCCATTGCGAGATGCTTCGTCCGAGGCCGCCAAGACCGCCAGCGAGGAGGTAGGAAACTGATGGGTCGAAAGAGGTAGCGGGTGGTGGTCTTTGAGCAACCTGAAGTTTGTTAGTCGCACCTTCGACATCGATACATGAACGGTGACTTACAAGAACTTGGTCATTAGCCTGCGGTACCATTACCACCTGCTTGTCGTGACTCGCATCTTGCATCATCTTGACAGCCTCGTTCAGCTTAGACCAAGGTAAGACATCCGCAGCGCTACGGTCGATTATCTTCGTCGCCGTGAGAGCGCTCATAGCTTCTTGGAACATTCGACTAGCAAGCTTGGGCTTCTGCGTATACAGCAACGCCATATCCACAGAGAAGAAGGATGCGTTGCGGCCAAACGGTGCCATTTCCAGTCGGCCAGTCCCTGGTGCATTAAGGTTTACGAATCTGCCAAAAGACGCGATGCAGCTGAACGTCGCCTGTAATGCCTCGCCAGTCAGGGTGTTCAGAATGACATCAAGACCGCGG